TATCTATTATTTGGAATATTATGAGCTATTTAATAAATGGAGCCCTAGTGGCCCAGTGGTTAAGAACTCGGCTGCTAACCAAAAGGTCGGCAGTTCAAATCCACCAAGCGCTCCTTGGAAACCCTATGGGGCAGTTCTACTCTGTCCTACAGGGTTGCTATGAGTCGGAATTGACTTGGTGGCAATGGGTTTGATTTTTTTTTAATTTAATAAGTGATTGATTTAAAGATCTTTGCACATATATGTATGTGGTCCATATGCTCCTGTATTTCTGTCTTTAAATGATATAGCTATCTGTAGAAAAGATCCAGGAGAAAGTTCATTTTTTTGCTTGTCTGCTCCTTGGGAGTGAATCCTTAATTGAAGTAAAGGAGAGCATGTTCCTTAGGACCTATCACTGAGGGGAAATAGAATAATAATCAGCTGTCAATATGGATGAACTTTCAGACATTTTTGCCACATAACAACTGGCTCTGCCACAAATCATGGGTGCGATCTGGAGCAGGTCTCTTACCCTTTCTGTGCCCTGTTTCCTCATGTGCAAAATGAAGGAGCTGTGCTAGGGCAGGAGTTGGCAAGCTATGGCCCCAGGGACAAATCTAGCCTGCCACATGCTTTGTATGGCCTGCTAGCTAAGAAGGAATTTTACACTTCTCAATGGTTGAAAAAAATTCAAAAAATAATATTATTCTGCAACACATGAAAATTATATTCAGTCAGATTTCAGTGTCCATAAATAAGGTTTAATTTAGAACACAGCCACAGTCATTCATTTATGTATTGTCTATGGCTGCTTTCATGCTACGACAGAGAGTTAAGTAGTTGTAACAGAGACCATATAGCCCCCAAAGTCTAAAATATTTTTCTTTATAGAAAAAGTTTGGCAGCCCTTCTACTAGGCCCTAGATGGCACTTACAGTTAAGTGCTTAGCTACTAACTGAAAGGTTGGTGGTTCTAATCCACCCAGAGGCCTGGAAGAAAGAGGCCAGAAGAAGAAAGTCCTGGTAATTTACTTCCAAAAACACCACAGCCATTGAAAACCCTACAGAACACAGCTCTGTTCTGACACACATGGAGTCTCCATGAGTCAGAATCGACTCAGTGGCAATGGGTTTTTGTACTAGGCCAAGAATGACCTTTAGGAAGCACTGTGGGTCGATTGATGGCAATTTCCTTGCATGGTGTGAAGCAGAATCCTGGGGACACATCTGTGTGATCAATTAGTAATTTCAGCTGTGATTAAGGTAGAGGGAAGTGGAGGGCCACATGCCTTGGATTTGCCTTCCCTGGACTGGACAAGAGCTAAAATTCTGTGAATCTCTAAAAGCCTTTCTTGTTCTCTAGCTCCCTAAAGATGTTTCTTTGAGGACAGAGACAACATCATTCGTCTGTCCTTTCCTCTGCTGTCCGGTGTGTGTGAGTGTGGATGGGGGTGGTGGGAGGTCAGTCTCTGAGTATATTCCTCGCGAAGCCTTCATAAAACTTCTCAAATTCCTGAAAAAAGGAAATAGCCTTTGCCGTGAACGTACTCAGGTATCTAATTGCTTTTAGATTTTGGTGTTTGTGGTAATGCATAATATTTAAATAATCTTAAACCTCTTTATATTGAGCCTGCTGAGAATCACTATTGAGACACTCCAATAATTTAAATTATAGGATCCAGAATGGAATGCATTTGGATTTGACTTTTCTGTTGGAGGAGAGTGTGGATGAGACTCTAGGCGATATGCTATTAGCTATTTCAAACTGTCAGTATTTCGAAAATACTTAAAGTTGTGATGCTGGATTGTCATGTTTCAAATTTTATCCTGGATGATACATTTTTGGGGAGGAATATTTGCTATTTGTCTTACGAGTGCAAACTATTATTTGTCCAAAGGAAAGTGAAGGGGGGGAGGTAGTTCAAGTAGACAAAATTGAATAATGAATAAAATTCTACAGCCCAGGAGAAAATGATATAACTCCTCAAATCTGCATTGAAGTCACAGGAAGACTCAAGGAGGTGCCCTGCCCATTTACTGTGGCAGCCACTGTTCCCAGAAGGACCAAAGGCTTTCTGTTGTAGGCTCCTGCAACTCTCTGCTTCAGGGCTTTCTCTGGCCACAGGAGCATGCTTGGCCTGGAGGGGTGGGGACAGGAGAGAAGTGCCAGGGAGTTAATGCCCCTGGGAGCAGCCCTTGATCAATAATAGATAAATAGTGGACAAGAGTAGGTTAATAACAGTGGCATCACTAGTGGGGTGCAGAGGGTGATGTTGTCAGAGGGGGTGACACCAAAATGACTGTCTAAAATTTTTGAGCAGTGTTTCAGCAGAAATTTATTATTTTTTATAAAAATATTCCTGTAGTTTGTTATAACAACAAAAAAATTTTTTCATAAGCCCAGTTTACATGTATCAATATACCTACAAGGCTAAAACTCTATGCTAATTTGCTTTTTGAACCTTCTAATGTGCTCAGGTCAGAGCTGTCATTATTACCCAATTACAAGATGCATTGAGTCACATGGTTTTGTCTGCACATGCTACAAGCTTGTGCTGTTGTTTTTGTTGCTGCTGGTGTTTTAAGATTTTTCAAATTTTCTAGTGTTTTAGCTACAATTTTGTGGTAATTAGCATGGGGTGGTGACACCCCACTGGGTGACATCAACCCTAGTGATGCCACTGGTTATAATATCCCCTAATCCGTGCCCCTTGAGTGGGACAACTATGAGGTGTTTTCTCTCGGTTCTCCCCAGGGTCTCCAGCAGGACTGAACTCCAGTTGCCTGCAGTGATAAACCTCTCAATAACACATCCTGGATGAACTTTTTTCCCTTTCCTGTCTCATTTCCCCATTCCTGTTTGGCGTCTCCCCAGTCACCTCCCAAATAAACTATTTGTGCTAAAACATTGTCTCAGGGTGTGTGTTATGTCCCCCCAAAATATCTGTCAACTTGGCTAGTCCATGATTCCCACTATTATGTGATTGTCCACTATTTTGTCATCTGATGTGATTTTCCTATGCTTTGTAAATCCTGCCTCTACGATGTTAATGAGGCAGGATTAGAGGCAGTTATGTTAATGAGGCAGGACTCAATCTACAAGATTAGCTTGTGTCCTAAGCCAATCTCTTTTGAGATATAAAAGAGAAAAGTGAGCAGAGAGACACGGGGACTTCAGACCACCAAGAAAGCAGCATTGGGAGCAGAACAGGGGTCCCTGGGGTCCCTGCGCCTGAGAAACTCCTAGACCAGGGGAAGATTGATGACAAGGACCTTTCCCCAGAGCCCACAGAGAGAGAAAGCCTTCTCTTGGAGCTTGTGCCCTGAATTTGGACGTCTAGCCTCCTAGACTATGAGAGAATAAATTTCTCTTTGTTAAAGCCATCCGCTTATGGTATTTCTGTTAAAGCAGCACTAGATGACTAAGACAGCGTGATTTGGAGGAAACCAACTTAAGACACTCTTGAACCCTGCCGTTCAAAACCAGTGTAAACAACCCTCCTTCCTGCAAAACCAATGGACAGGATAGGTTCTGGATCTCAGTTCATTTTGAACAATGGTCCTCACATTCCATTCAATTGTGTCCCTAAACCCTAAAGGAGTTTGCACTCAACCAAAGACTCGGTAGTAACTGAATCAAGAAATGGAGTATTTAATAAAAGTAAAAACAAAAATTATGAACCACTATAATAATTTAAATTAGTAAAGTTATACTCCGCATCCAAAAAAGGTAGAGGGTAAACTGTGGTGATATAAGGTATAATAATAATCTTTTAAAACAGCTTCAGGAAGTTCGAACCGGTGTCTACTTGTACTTTCTACAAATTTCCCAAAAACAACCTAAGGCACTCAAAATCATTTTATTCCTCTTGTAGCTACACTCAGAGTAACAGATGGTAAATAAATGTTTGCTGTTATTTATGATGGTATTTTTTCCAGTGAAAAAATTGTTAAAATTAAGGACTTATCCAGTATTTCCCACCTTCCCAATGTCTTATCGCTTCTGTTTATTCAAAGTTTGGTTGCTGCAGTATCAGATCAAATAAGAAGCTTCTATCAAAGAAAATTTCCTACAGAAACCTAACAACATACAGAGTGAAGTGTAAAGACCTACTCATGAGCCTCTCTTTCAATTCCACTTGATCCTTGAGATGTGATGGAATCAAGCCCGCCACAGATGGTTTAAAAGCCATAGACTTAATATGTTGTCCAAAAAACTTCCATTTCTCTCTTCCAACTCTTCCTTTTTTTTTTGCTAAGTCCTGTTGATTTTTCCTGTATAGAGTCACTGCTAACCGTCCCTTCCTTTCTAGGCCCACTGCACATGTCTTATTTAGACAGTGTCTCTAGATTGCTATAGACTCTTACTCTCCAATCATATTCCTCAGCTTGCAATGTTTTCTCATTGCATGCAGAATAGATCATCTTCCTCAGCCTGAAATCCAGTGC